AACAAATGCACATACATATTTGTGACATGATGTACCTTGTGTGTGTGAAGTTTGAACTCGATCAATCCAAGCATGTCTCAGATACGGATCCAGAACTGAATTCTTTAAAACAAAATGGCCTGCCAGTCGGCCATTTCGAACCCGATCCCCAAAAAAAAATGACGTGCATCAAGGTCCTATTATGTTTAATTTATGTACCAAATTTGAACAAAATCCGTCCATGCATAACTGAGATCCGGGTCCGGAATGGTGAAAATGTGCGATTTTGATGCATTTTCGGCCTTAAAATGGCCGCTATTCGGCTATCGTTAATCGGATCATGAAAAAAATGCATGTGCATATGTCCCATGCATGTTCGAGATATAGGTGATCACGGACGCACGGACAGACGCACACAGGGCAAAACATAAGTCCCCGTTTTCGGACTGCGTCCGAACGGGGACTAACAAAATGTTTCAAAATGGATATTTTTTGTAACCTTGCATGCAACTAAATACGGTACATTACTGTTAACTACAAGCAAATTTGTGGGTTATATACACATGTAACTATATTCATGTAACATGTTCCCATTGCCATGTTCCCCTCACTTTTACACCAGTTCATTCACATTGCAATCTCACACAGTTTACCTCTCTCCCATGTGATGCCTCACTAGTCTGGTCATACTACACATATGTTGTCCCAAAGTCTCATTTTGTATGTATTTGCGTGTAGACTCATAGGGGATGTCAAATTAACCTCACAGAACAAATGTTGATATGCCATCATAGTTTGTTCATGTTGGATTTGGCTGTCTAGAACACCGTGACAGAAGGTAACGACAACATTTTCATATATGTGATATTTTATCAAGATACAAAAAAGAATTTTTGTTTTTGGACAACATTCAAAAAAAAAGGTTCAGAATTTTTCTAGGAATTTATAGTGGGACCTTTTTCATATCTCATACATTCTCAAAAATTAAAGAGAACTTAAAATAGGTTTCTTGTTCTATCTTAAGCTATAAGAAAATGATGAACGTGGGTTACTGTGGTCTGGAAAACATTTTCATCCTATTTTTTTGAACAAAGTAACATAATTTGAGCTCAAAGACCTTCCACATTTTAGCAAATAACGGCCATAAACATAATTTTCGCTATTTTGTTTGACCTAAAAACATACTTAAAATGCACTGATCCAAAAAACGAATTGACGTGCATGTGTAAATTGTAATGATACACCTCTGTAGCTAGTTTTAATGAAATTAGCTGAGAATGAGTTCTAAAAATCTGGTGTATACGAACACATTCGGGTCAATCCAATATTCCCAGTTTAGTGCGAAATGTAAAATAATGTTAACAATAGTATTATAAAGTGTGACAGTTAAATTGTTCTTCAATAGTCAGCTATGTACTCAGATACGAGTTTGCCTTAAGGTAAGTTGACAAAGCTACTTCATACTGAAACTTGGTGTTTTTCAAATAAAATCTTGCATTATTGATTTGAACTTGTCGCTATTTAATCTTATGTGAAGAATTACATGTTTGGTTGATGGGGTGGTTGGAGTGGTAGGTTTCTAGACTGTATATTTATTTGATGTTGTATTTCAAGACACATTATAACCATATAGTCTAATCTGACTTAGTGGTTTACGTTGTACCCATTTGGAAATTGGGGGAGGGGGTTATCTTATTCCCTTTTGTAGTTAATTTCTTGGATCTTAAGGCATGACAACTATTTTATTTCACCCCACCATCCCATAATACAGATCTATTTTATATGCACATTTTGTGCAATTTTGTTCTCCGATCTCAAAATCCTACAAAGGCCTATCCTGTTATAATATAATATTAAAATAAGACCATTTTAATTTAACGGTGTGGATTTTTCAGTGCCGTGTTTCTATTTCTAGTCAAGAAGACTGGAGATTGAAACATGAAGACGCGACAGAACCCACATCACCAGTTATATTTAAAGGTGTAGTCTTCAATGAAATGAAAGGTGCTTTGGTAAGATTTAAAAATTCATAATTTTGGGTAAATTTTCTATTTTGCCAGGTAGGCTTATTTTCGTATTAAAAAGATGGCTTTAATAAAAAAACAAGTATTTATAAAGTGAATATTTATTTATTATCAAAAAACAATAGCATTTAACTTTTCACGAACATGAGAATATTCCGAATAATTGTAAAGATTTAGTCGACGATAATTACACACTTTTTTTAAATATTCATTTCAACGAGGGTCATTATTTTTGTGAAACGTTCAAAACAAATAATTTATTAAACGTTGTATACATGAAATAGTGGAGTGTCTGATAACATCAATGAATAACACATTATTTGGTAAATGTTTGACTTTGCCTCAATGCTGACAAGTTAATAAGTAAACCCATGTCACGGGGTCAGCTGTTTTGACCAACTGTGAGGTAGGCATGTCGCGCCAACAACATTTACTAAAATGTCTAGGAAAGTGTCTGGGGATGTTGCAAAGTTCAACATTGCCCACCAGGTGTGGGAGTTACCCTCCCCATTGTGAGCCACTTGTAAAATTTATAAACAAATTTATTTATTTTATTTATTTATTTATTAACACACAACATTCCCCCCCCCCCCCCGGAGGGGATGAAAAGGGTTACAAATCAAATATTAGTAAAAGAAAAATAACTACATAAAAAGTAAGGGAACAAAAAAGCATAAAAAAAAAAAGAAAGATAAATTTGTATACATGGAATGTGTTACTGGCTTAGTTTATGTAGGTGCTGCTGTCTTGTATTAAAACAGTCTTTTAAATATTGAGCTAAAGGAATTGACATTTTCTCGTTACTTAGTAATGATATGAATTTATTTTCATTACTAAATTTGTCAAAATTTGGTATACGTTTATTAGCTACAATGTAAAGTTTTGATCTTATTTCGTTGTAATGAGGACAATTTGTGACAAAATGTTGTTCATCTTCAACATGGTCATTGTCGCACATATTGCAGACTCTGTCTTTAAAATCCAAACCTATATGCCGGCCTGTTTCAATTTTCAGACAGTGGTTGCCAAGTCTAAATTTTGTTAAGGATTTGCGAAGTTCATTGTTTTTCATAATTGTTAAGTAGTTTTCTTGTTCAATTTTGGTTTTAAAAAGTTTGTAGGTTCTTAGTTTATTTTTAGAATTTGATTTTTTCATTTTTCCACTCAGTTGTAAACTCTTCTTTTAATTTCTCATCAATTGTTTTTAGTTTTGATAATGAGATAATATTTGTTTCATTTAAAAGATAAGAATGGTTTATATTTTTTAATATCAAATCAAGTCTTTTAAACCATTTACTTTTAATAATTTTATTGACATAGTATGCTTCTTGAAGTAGAGTATTTGTGGAATTTGCAATACGATTGGCATA